CCCAAGGAAGCGCAATGGCTCCCTTTGGGAAGAGGAGCCATAGTGTGGGGCGGGTGCTTTGTGGGGGGTTTTGAGCTGCAACGTTTTGGGGTCACCCCCAGAAGAAGAAGAAAAGAAGGGGGGAAAGGTGTAGGGAAAAGGAAATGGTGGGAGAGAGGAGGATCTGGTGGCAATTGTGAGGCATCCAAGGCTAGCCCTCCATTATTAGGAACCATTGGAGTCCAGCACTTGTGTTGCCTTGGATGGTTGAACTTTGGAGGGAGCACCAGGGTTCCAACCCCAGCTCGGCCATGACCTTGGCCAAGTCACACTCTCTCAGCCTCCTCCTCAGGGGAAGGCAATGGCAAACTTCCTGTGAACCAATCCTGCTAAGGAAACCCCATGATAGGGTCGCCATAAGTGGGAAACGAAGGCACACAACACACACACACACACAATCTTTCACGTGTGGAAGCAGAAAGGGAGCTGGAGGAGGAGGAAGAATGGGGAGAGGGAGGAGGATGGAACAAACTGTTCAAAACACACACACACACACACACAAAACACACACCAGCTACAGGAAACGCATCCATCTGACTCAGAGGGAAGAAGGGTGGCGGTGGAAATCAACCCACAGCACAGATCACAGCCAATGTGTCACTGGCGTGCCATGGGTGCCACCCTCCAAAATGGGGCAAAGGAAGGGCTGATGCTGGTGGAAGAAGAGGAGGAAGAGGAGGCTCTTTTCTCCCTCCTGAGGGGTGCCCCCGACCAAGCCTGGGCTGCTGCTGTGTCTAATCCTCCTATTTATAAATAGCCTGCCTTCATTTTCTCTCTTACACACACACATACACACACACCATCTTTATTTTACAGTGTGGGTGGCTTTATCGCAAACCCTTCCACCCCCTCCGTGTGTAAAAGTAAAAGGGTGGAGTAGTAGTCCTCCTCCTCCTCTTCCTTCCTCCTCCCAAATGCCTCCTTGCAAAGTCCCAGGAGTTGCTGTGCCATGTCCAGAAGGAGGGTGTGTGTGTGTTGGCATGCCATTCTCTGGGTTCACACACAATACACACACACACCCATCTCTGTTGCCCTCCTTCTTCCAGGCTGCCAGCTCTTGAGGTTGATTGCCCGCTCAAAAAAGCAGCCAGAGTCAGTCAGAGCAAGGCAGGCAGGCAGGCAGGCAGGCAGGCAGGCGTCTCCTGGAAAGGCTGTTTGTTGGGAAGGGCAGGGATAGAGGGAAGGAAGGCGTGGCAGGGAAAGGATGGGATGGGATGGGATGGGATGGGATGGGGGAGCCTGGCTCCTGGCCTGGGGACACCATCAGTGTTCATGCCACTCAATGGGAAGGAAGGAGCCCTCCTCGCCCTGCTCCCAATGAGTGGCATGAGCATTAATGGTGGCCCTAGGCCAGGAGCCAGGCAGCAACCAACCTTCCCTTCCCTCCTTTTTTCCCCTTTCCTTTCATTCTTTCATCCCTTCCCTTCCTTCCTTTCCTTTCCCTTCCCTTCCTCCCTCCCTTCCTTTCTTCTTCCCATTCCCTTCCTTCCCTCTTTTCTCCCTTGCTTCCCTTCTCTTCCTTTCCATTCCCTTCC